ATATACATGTATATATATATACATATATATACATACATATATATACATATACATATACATATATAGATATATAGATATATATACATATATATATCCGTCAAAATATATAAGTATTGTTTATATATCACTCTCATTAGCATCAGTCCAATAAATTAAGGTTCATTACCACTAATTATGGTTATCAATGAGTTTGTAAAGATTATTAAATTTAAATATCTAAAATGATCTGTATACAATCATTAATAACCATATTTCCTAAACTTAAATTTTTAGGGTTAAACACAAAAATTACTAATTTAAGAGGGATATATATATAAAGAAATGTTAACGTTAACTGGAATCTCAACGTCACTGTGGTGAGTATCAACTGAAGAAGATGATCATAATGACATACTGATGCTTGTTTAATTTTGCAAGTATGTAAGTGCTAAACTAACAGACGATGGGAAAGAATAAAAAAATTGGACAGGGCATGGTTGCTCACCGAGAGCGAGGATGGTAGTAGCGATCTCTCTCCGAGCTTGAGCTTGTACAACAAGATCGTGGTTTTACTGGCTGCATTAAGCCCAACCATCAAGATCCTCATCACCTCCTTCGCGAACAGCCGGCTAAACAGGCTCGTTCATCACTAATAAACGGAGAAGGGCAAAGGGCTTCAAGAAACTCTACTCCCCACATGAAATCTAACGGAAGACACAGAAGTCGCCGAGATTGGCAAGAGAACATCGAGAACGAGAGGAAAAACTCAGATCAGATCGGACCATCTTCGCCCTGAAGTCAGATCGGACCGAAATGGAGATCGAATCGAAGAGGGCGAGAGTAGAATTACCTAAAGATTTCTCGACCGACGCTCCTCCGTCGAGTAAGAAGAATGAGTGGGCAAGAGCGGTGCGCTTGGGGCGCCATCGTCTCGCGCATCCGCAGGTTTGTTGGGGAATGGCCGCGAATGGGATGCCTTCCCGCGTCGACTACGTGGCATATTAAAGCTGCTTCATGTGGGGCCCAACTAAACAAAAATGAAAGGGAACCCTAAGGACAATTTACCCCCAAACCGTCAATAATTAGGGAGCGGCAGTACGAATAGGTCAACAATGCTATTAACCTCTAATAATTACTATAAATAAAAATACATTACTCAAATATATTTATTATAAGATGAATTCTTGAAAATAAAAAACATTTCGTATTGTACGAAAAAATTTCATACAGTACTCTAACAATGTGAAAAGATCATTTTACCTATATCCTCATCAAACGTATCGGAATCCCAACCATCACCTTCCCTCCCCATCTACCCCACTAGATCCATTGTGTTGTCACCTTCATTGATTCCACTAGCCTCGTCTTTTTGTGCCTCACTTATAAATCTCACGTTCTTTCCTTCCTCATGCAAGGGATACATGTAAGGCACATAGGGTTAGGGCTAATAAGGTCAATGGAGGAGGCAGCAGCTTTCGCATCTCCTTCTTCGCGCAAGGTTGGTCGAGTGATAGGTTTAGCGGCACAAATGGGAGGGAAAGCGACAACTGGGTTCCGACGAGTGTGAGGCCTTCGTGAGCAATAAGAGGTTGTTCGAGATGATCGACAGGGCAGTGGCACAACCATGGGTTAGGTGGAGGGCAATAACCAATAGTGTGAAGATAGACACCGAACTTTTTTACGTAAAGTTTGTTAAATTATATGGTCTTATCTATAAAATATATTATGAATATGATTAAATTCTAAGTACTATTATTGACCAGTAGATACGATGTCTAATTATAGTAAGATTCCCTATGTGATGATCTTGATGGAAGAAAATCTCTTAATCAATTATCTTAGATCCTTTGCTCTTATTTATAAAATGACAAAACATCATAGGGACTCAGTGCAAATAATAAAATATGCGAATACACAAATATGCAAATGTATGGATATGTGATATATTTTGAAAGATTATATATCTTTTTTCATATTCCCAAAAGATTAATCTAATTCTCCTTATAGATCGGTATTACTATAGATTTCATATACATTAATGACACGATTATAGATCATATGAAGATTTTTTGAATAGCATGTTACACATCATAAATTTGAATTTATTATTATTTAATTTTATATTTTGATATTAATTTTTTTATGATGATTTTAATGCTTAATTCCTTTTCTACAGTGAAAATGTTCTAGGAGATCAATTTTTGCATCAATAGCATAACAAGCATTATTTGCTCGAGTTCCGGCGGATGAAGACTTGCTTTGTGATGATCAAACATGCCACCAAAAGAAATCTCAAATTCTTCTCCTCCTTGTTCCTCATGAACGCAATAAAAGAAAACAGAATCATGCAGATCCGCGAGCGTCGTTCGATTTCCTCGATTTGTCCATGTACCATTTGCTGAGGCGATCTTTAGCAATTAGCACCTACAGTAGGAAAGATTGAATGATCCATAATGCAAGAAGAGAGTAAAAGACGGGCGAAGTTGTGATGGTCGTCTGTCTAGACTTGATTACTTCTAGTTTTCATCTTTTGCTTGATCCAAGTCAGAGAGAGATCACTTGAGAACAGAAATGCCTTTGTGGAAAGAATTACCTGCTGATCCCAGTCAGTCCTCCAAGTAATGTAGATAAGCACTATAGTTTGGATGCATGTTCCAATCAACATTCCAATCCAAATCCCCTGCATTCATATCGAAAATAGAGTGTGAAGTTATACTGGAAAATTTTTGGATCTTTTGATACTTGCAACTTCAGTTATTCAATCTTATTTTACCTAAGAAATCAGTATCTGTTAAATGATCTATGTAGCTCAGACTAATTTAATATTCTCGCAGGACATGTACATGAAAATATAATCAATCACTTGCATTTTACGAAGAGAAAGGATATTATGCTAAACCTCCTCGAGACACTAAAAAAGCAGTGGGAGAGGTGTTATACTAATTCTTCTTACCTTGACATGCATATCAAAGGCATAACCAAGCACAACTCCCAAAGGTAAGCCGATCAAGTAGTAGCATCCTATGTTTACAAAAGCCACCATGCCTTGCCAGCCCGCACCAATGGCAACACCTATAACAAATTTAAATGGAAGTCAAAAAATGCCCTTGAAAAAGCATGTCAGTGAGAAAACAAAGAACAAGAAAACATATTTGCATGTCAAGTTACAGAATCTATTTTTTTGTTTTTAGATCTTAATAGCTTAAGATGTATATGATCTGATTTTCTTATGCTCGACATGCGAAGATAATTGACCAGTACTTTCATCTGTCAGTGTGTGAAACAGTTTCTGCAGAGATCAATGACATATTATAGTTACTCATCCATTTAGGAAATTTCACCTGAAATTACAGGTTGAACGCTGTTCAGCAAAATGGAGAAGGCCAGCAGCGGAGAAAGGTCAGCGACTGCTCCAGCTACTTCAGCATCATCGGTGAATATGTAAGCAAGTCTACCTCGGAAAATGAGAAAGAACAGGAAGAGCACAAATCCAATGACAAATGATGTGATGACCACATTGACTATAGCGAACTTTGCCGCTTTGGCACTCCCTGCGCCCAGCTCATTTGCCACTCGAACTCTGGGACAGCAAAAGAAATAATAAGATGTTGATTAATCCAAGTTGTCTCTGATATGATGGACCAGAAAATATTGAGTGAGGAAGGAAAATATATTATTGTGATGGGCTATACCCTGCTGCTGACAAGAAACCAACAGATATCATCATCTCCCATCCATTAATGTTGAGGCTGTAACGATTAGGCATCCATCAATACTAGAAGTCAGATGTAACGTATAAGAATAGAACAGACTCAGAGTTATCAGTGTACCAGATGGAAAGAGCATCTATGGCAACCTCAGCATTCTTCATATAACCTGTGAGGAGGACCAAGATGGTGTTGTACCAGAGTTCCAAGCTGCAGCAAAATAGGTCCTTGTGAGAGACGGCATACAGTGGGCGAAGTTAAACAGAAGGAGATTATTACCAAAGCATGACGCCGGAGGATAGAGAGAGCTTAACAATCGCCCAAAGGTCCAAGAATGCACTGAAAGAGAAACCTGTCCAAGTTTCGGGGCAGCCTCCAAAAAACACAAATGCAAGCTGACCCAGTACAGGAATCCACATTGCAAGGATCATCGAGCCCATTACGCCGGCAAGTCCCAAGTTAAGCTTCGTAACCATAAACCATGCGAGGAAGATATGCAGAGTGAGCGTTGCGACTGCCAAATATGTGATGATGACGTTCTTGCTTTGCGCCTGGAGATACATCTGAAGTGTGAATCCCCATACAAAGGAGAAGAAGACAGGAATGAACCAATGTGCCACGGTGCCAGCCATCTCTGCGATGGATTCCTCTTGGCCAATAAGCTTTAGTAGCGGAGTCGTAAAAATGAAGACGGGCGTCAACAAGAAGGCACATGAGCACAAGACGATCCAAGATCTTTGCAGATAAATGCCCAGCATGTGGTACTGTTTTGCGCCGTAAGACTGCCCGCAGAGGGTCTCCAATGCACTCGCCATTCCAAGCTGCAAAATGGAAGTTGAGCTCAAGCTATACTTCACATCGGTACACTCTCATAATCTACCATTCATGAACAAAGTTTTCAGTCACAGACACCTCGTCTGCAGCTAATGCAAATCAAAAGTGCTAATTGTAGTTAGATATGCATTTATATGTATGCCAGTAGAGCAGCTGTACATTTGCAACAGTATATGTAAACAAAAAGATTTTCTTCACTGTTCAGAAAGTTTGTACGGTGCTCTGATCTGCTCTCTTTTAAGTGCATCTCATTTAATAGATGAAGAAAACATTGAAATAACATAATGGTAACAAAATCAACCAAGTTGTACCGCCCACCCAAACTGAAGTATTCTACCTGGAACTTCTGCTACCATTTAGCTCTGCAAAATAACTAAGATAGTAAATGCAGTAAGAAAACTCTATGACAGTAACAGCTGTTGCAAAGCAGGAATTAGAACTGTCCACTTTGGAATCCCATCTAATGTGAATTGGATGGTTGCAATCGAGACTTTGAGAATGGGGCAGCTTTTGCTTGCTATCTATCTAGACTTGAATAGGAATCACCAACTACAAACTTGTTTAGAGGTCACACAGTTTGGCACATTAATCCACAAACTTGCCAATATTATGGGAAGATACATTCGCTATAAACTTTGTTCTTCACCAGCATTCACAACATATATCTCACACCATATTGCTCATATGTTCATAGCATTTTTCATAGAACAGTAAGCGTCAACCCAACTTTGCAACCAAGAGGTCCATGTTGCCTTTGACTGGCAGCATGAACATCCTTAACCCAGAAGAGCCCCACGATATGATATAATAAACCAATATCCATTAAATTTTTATGGATATTAGTTATTTTTAAACATAAATTAATTATTCATCTTCAAATATACCAAGTTAACATATTGAAACAAAAGTTAGTAGGAAGATCTTTCTATAACTCGTCAAGTTGACTAATTTCTATGTTTTGCTAATTTCGGTCAATTGACCTACGTCCACGGACGGAGGAGTAGAAAAATTTTACTATAAAAGAAAGAATTATAAATGCCTTACGAAAATGGTCGTAGACCATAAAAATACAGAAATGTTCAAACTATAGCCCAAACTATTTTAACTAAGTGTAAACTTAATAAAAATTAAATCTAAAATAAATAATTAGATTTTTCTTATGGTACATCTGGTTTCAAAGTCTAAACCCTTATTTATTATTGCAATAAGAGACAACAAGCTTGATTTTCTTGATGTGGGATTACGTGAGATTTGCCAAACTAACAAGTCCAGAATATTACATTATTATTTTTGATTAAAATTATTATGTTGATCAAAATATTACAAACTGCTCGTGACAGAAAAAGTTAGGTTATTATGCCAAAGGATAATAAGCTGACTTTACGCTTTGATCCAATAATGGTTCATTATATCACGTTTTTTTATCCATTTATATATATTGTATATATATAAAAAAAAAAGTTTACCATCATGAGTTTCACATGTATCTAACACATTATTTTTTGATTAAAAGAAAATTGATTAAAACTAATCAAAGCATAGAACCGAACCGAACCGTTACTTGGATAGCAACGATTTGTTCTCGTGAGGCCGGGCGATGGTTGGGCTCCGAGACATTAGGCCGCAGGGCCCCAACGCACGATCCACTGATCTCAACAGCTGAGGCGTGCTGCCACAACGGTGGCGGTTCCAGGTCGTGCATCGGCCCGGTTCAGTAGCAATCATTACGATCGAAACGATGTCAGTCAAACAACGCAACGTCGTCATCGAT